GTTTCCAAACAATATAAATATGATGAGGATGGTTTCCAAACACTATAAATAGATGAGTATGGTTTCCAATACCTATAAATATGATGAGAATGGTTTCCAAACACTGTAAATATCATGAGAATGGTTTCCAAACACTATAAATATGATAAGGATGGTTTCTAAACACTGTAAATATCATGAGAATGGTTTCCAAACACTTTAAATATGATGAGGATGGTTTGAATGAAAATGTCAATATTGTGTCTGCTAGATTATTGTTTAGGGTTTGGAAACTATCGATAAATAGAAGATTTCTCAAGCTAGAGGGATTAATCAATCAATCAATCAATCAATCATGAATGGATAAAATGCATGAAATATAAATATGAATCAATCTAAGATTAGACATAAAGCTAATACACCAGAAACAATTAATAGAATTTAGAGAAAGGATGGATTATTCAATAATTACTTTTTAAAGAATTCAAGTTTAAAGGGACTATTTATCCTCAAGTTTCCCGTCACGTTCTACAAATTGTGTTTTGTTGAACTGAAACTGCAGTATTATAGAGAAAAAATTAGGATTCATTGATTCCAATAAAACAATTTTGCGGTGTATAATCACTTAGTAAATTGTATTTATGGACAGGTTTAGAAACTGAAATTAATTAAAAATAAGTAATTTTATTCAGTTTTTAGTTTCTTGAATGTTTGATTCTTCCTGTATATTTACTTGCAATTCATTGCAAGGCGACATTTGAAAAAATTTGAAGAGATCTGCGAACAAATTTACACAATAGCTAATTCAACATATATAATTGATTCTACCATTGATTTCATCACACATTTCTTTTCAGAAATATGTTCCTAAACAACTTAATTGCTGAAAGTAGAATTTTTGATGCGTCTATTTGTCCATGTTATCAAATAATTAAAAAAAAAAAAACGTTTCTTCTATGGTTAAATTTGACAAACGAGTTTACGCTCTTATTCAGAGCCCCATCAATTTAAAGAACGGGTCGACTTTGAAGTGACGCAACACCTGGGGCTTAGATTTTACCTTTTTAACTCACTCATGCTTTTCTGTAGCCCTCTACAAATACATGTTATCATGCACTGCAAAGCACTTGTTGTTAGTTTTAGTTTTTAAGAAGTAATAGGCAAATTCTCATAAATTTTTGCTTGAAAACGTGAGAACTTCAAATCACAGTGCATTAATTTAATTCTATTTTTTCTTTCTTTTTTATAATACTACTCCAGTTTCAGTTCAATTACCTTACCTGGCCAGTCTATCCCTTTAAGAAAAGTTTAATGTTCTAAGGAATACTTCAACTTTACTTGATGATTCTGAACTTAAATATCATATAATGTATTTTGTGTTAAGAATAAAAATAAAATTTCCACCTAATTATTAATTTTAAAGGAAGATGTGATACTGTACGAAAACATAATATTGATCGTCCCCCGTCCCCTTTTAAAGATTTTGGAAAGAATGGTGGTGATGGGGGGGGGGGGAGCATGAAGGAGAAGGAGGAAAGGGAGGGGGGAGCGTGAGTTTAGTAAAGAGGTCTGTTTTCTGTTTATTTCAATTATTTTGTTTCTGAGTGATATCTTACAAAGATATGCTCCCTTGTTTGATTGTAGAAAGTGAAAGGAGAGTTAAAGGGGATCAAACGATGCTTCGAAAGAGGACGGGGGGGAAGGGGGGGGAGGGAAGGGAGTTCTCTTCGATACCCTCTGTATTCCCAGCCATGTCATACTCCACTGTATCCCTCCTGTATCCTCCTATATTAAACCACCGTATCCTTCCTGTATCCCTCTCTATTAAACCATTGAATTTCCCTCCTGTATCCCTCTATGATCTGCTGTATCCCCATGTATCCTCCCCTCTATTAAACCACTGTATAACTTCTGCATCCCCCTCTATTAAACCACTGTATCCCCATGTATCCCCCTCTATTAAACCACTGTATCCTTCTGTCAATTGGATTTAGTTAAGATTAAGGAAAACATAGTTGACTAGTGAGCACTGATCTGTTTACAATCAAGAATATATTGTGATCAAGATAAAGTTAACCAGTTGGTTAGATAGATATATATATAGATAGACAGTTAGATAGATAGATAGAAAGATAGATAGATAGATAGAAGGATAGATAGATAGATGGATAGATAGATAGAAGGATAGATAGATAGATAGATAGATAGATAGATAGATAGATAGATAGATAGATAGATAGATAGATAGATAGATAGATAGATGATAGATAGATATATTTATGAAAGTATAGTTGCTAGAAGTTTAATGATTAGATTGTCAATCATGTTAGTTTGCGCTTTAGATGTATATATAGTTAGCTAGAGGTTTAGTTAGATAAATAGGCAACAGTCAATAAGCAAATAGTTAGCTAGAGGTTTAGATGTATATATAGATATATAGTTAGCTAGAGCTTTAGATGTATATATAGATATATAGTTAGCTAGAGGTTTAGTTAGATAAATAGGCAACAGTCAATAAGCAAATAGATAGCTAGAGGTTTAGATGTATATATAGATATATAGTTAGCTAGAGGTTTAGTTAGATAAATAGGCAACAGTCAATAAGCTAGCAAACAGTTAGCTAGAGGTTTAGATGTATATATAGATATATAGTTAGCTAGAGGTTTAGTTAGATAAATAGGCAACAGTCAATAAGCAAATAGATAAATAGATTTAGTTAGCCAATTTGTATTTGATTAGATAGACAGAGCTAGCTTTTCACTGAATCGAAATAATAATAGGGTTTCCAATCGAAATTCCATCGCTGGAAATTGGGAGAAATTGCGTGATATTGTGTGCAATTGTGTGGAGTGGCGCGGAATTGGGCGGAACTTTGTGGAATTGCGTGGAAAGGTTTAACTATTGTACTGGAAAAAACATCTCCCACAGCTTCAGTTTTTTGTGATTATTAAAACCAAGTTTGAAGTTGCCTTACTAAAATTTCATCTAACTGATAAGCTGACTAGCTAACTAGCTAACACAGACTAACTCTGGGGTTTACCAATCACTGTTATAATAGTCAGAGGTAGAATTTATTGAAAAAGAAAAGTAAATGAACTATATATGAAAAGTTTAACTACTTCTACACTGAACTCTTGGGCACTGAAGTGCCAGTTTGCAAGTTTGTTCTCAAGATCTGAAAGATCCATAAATCTATTTAAATAGAGACTAGCGCTTCAGGGCGCTTCGTGCCTACTCCTTTTTCAATTTTAAACTGCATTTTCTCTCTTTGTATACATTGTTAAAAACAAAACAAAAAATTGCGGATTTTATAAAAAAACAATTTCGTGGACTTTCAAAATTTGATAAAACTCGAGATTTGTTGGAGGCTAATTTTAAAATTTTTGATCATCCATAAACCTTCCCCGGGGTCACGTGAGGTTCCACACAAAATAAGCTGGAAGCCGTGTTGAGGTTTATTGGATACAAACAAACAGACAAGCATAGATTAGTGATGTTTGAATTATAACGCATGCATGTTCATGGTTGCAATTTAAGTTTTTGAGAATTGAGATTCCAATTTATTCAAATCGTAAAGTTTTATTTTACACTAGAATATTGAAAATTCTGATAATTAATTTTTAATGAAAGTTCTCTATTTCTTATTAATAGAGAAACATCATTAATAATAATGAGGTTGAAAGATTTAAATGAATTAATTTTAAAATTACCCGAAGGATTTATAATGGTTGAACTTGATTGGAAATTAAATACAATGGAAATTTGTAAGAAAAGTTCCGATGCAAGATAATTATAATATATTGATTTATAAAACTTATTTCAAGTGACCCGCATTCATAGAAGCGGAAGATATCTTTGAAATTCTGTCATAAAAACTGTTTAATTCGGACAATTTTGCAACAAGTCACTTTTACAGAGCAATCAAAATCAAAATACTTTCTAATACAAAATTCTATATTTCCTTCATCTCTGATCAGAAAAAGGTTTTATGCTGTCATGTGTAAAAATTACCAATTTGTTTTCTGACACAATTATGGTACTAATTAAAATTTTAGTATTCCATATTTTTTTAGATTTTATTTGAAATATTTAGGCTCCATTGATTGCAGACGACTTTCTTGCACATTTCCATAAAGTGGTAGGCGATTAAATCAATAAAATTAAGACGGCTTTCGAATTCAATTTTGATATGAATAAAGCTGTTAAATAATATGGATACAAAAAAAACATAAAGGTCAAGAGAATTTATCAATTAAAAAATCTTCTATTTCTGATTACTTGAAAACTTGTAATTTGAAAAAAGCTTGTTAACAATAAAAACCTAAATAAAAATGTCGTCTTCATTGTATTGATATAACCGACTACCACCGTATAATTCGAAAATAAATTGAAATTCTTAGTTCTGTTTTTGCAAAGCAGGATGTCAACCAAAAGTTTTAAAAAACATTATCGTTAAACTCCCCTTCTCTTTGGCCCAAATCATTGACTTTCCTAATAATTGATAAACTTTTAATTAGTCTTTATTGCTGGGAGCAATTAAAAGTGTTCATATTGACCTTGCATGGTCTTAACTTTTCAAACCTACTTCTTCCTGAAACTACAACTGTTTAAAGGAACTGCACACTGTACAGTGTTCACGTTATTTTAATTAAATCTCCATTTGCAGATTGACATGTCATATTCACAACGTGACCTTAAACTTTAAAGGGACTGTACACCTCATTTTAATTAACTCTTCATTTACAGATTGACATGCCCTATTCTCAACGTTACCCTTAATTTTAAAGCGTTGTGTCAACAAAAATGCATGGGATATCCATCGGCTTTCTTTATAAATGAATTGCACATTTCTTTTTGAAAAAGCGTCAGAACCAAACACACGATATTTCTGTTTGTATGTCCGATTCCACGGTTTGAAGATCCTACGGTGCATATTTATCTTTCTATACTATAATGTAAGATCGATTATTAACCTCAAAAATAAAAATAAAAACAAATAAAAATTTATTCTTTGTGTTCAGGGATGTGTATTTCTAACCAGAGGTTACGAGATCGTCTTCAGTATGTTCTGGAGGAAGTCACAGATCCATACTTTACATCAACACCGGAGCAGAGACAGGTAAACCAGATCCATACTTTACATCAACACCGGAGAAGAGACAGGTAAACCAGATCCGTACTTTACATCAACACTGGAGCAGAGACAGGTAAATCAGATCCATACTTTACATCAGCACCAGAGCAAAGAAAGGTAAACCAGATCCGTACTTAACATCAGCACCGGAGCAGAGACAGGTAAACCAGATCCGTACTTTACATCAACACCGGGGCAAAGACAGGTAAACCAGATCCGTTCTTTACATCAGCACCGGAGTAGAGACAAGTATACCAGATCCGTACTTTACATCAACACCGGAGCAGAGACAGGTAAACCAGATCCGTACTTTACATCAACACCGGAGCAGAGACAGGTAAACCAGATCCGTTCTTTACATCAGCACCGGAGTAGAGACAAGTATACCAGATCCGTACTACATCAACACCGGAGCAGAGACAGGTAAACCAGATCCGTACTTTACATCAACACCGGAGCAGAGACAGGTAAACCAGATCCGTACTTTACATCAGCACCGGAGCAAAGCCAGGTAAACCAGATCCGTACTTTACATCAGCACCGGAGCAAAGACAGGTAAACCAGATCCGTTCTTTACATCAGCACCGGAGCAAAGACAGGTCAACCAGATCCTACTTTACATCAACACCGGAGTAGAGACAGGTAAACCATGGATCCATACTTTACATCAGCACCGGAGCAAAGAGAGGTAAACCAGATCCGTACTTTACATCAGCACTGGAATAGAGACAGGTAAACCATGGATCCATACTTTACATAAGCACCAGAGCAAAGACAGATAAACCAGATCCGTTCTTTACATCAGCACTGGAATAGAGACAGGTACACCATGGATCCATACTTTACATCAGCACCGGAGCAGAGACAGGTAAACTATATCTGTACTTTACATCAACACCGGAGCAGAGACAGGTAAACCAGATCCGTACTTTACATCAACACAGGAGTAGAGACAGGTAAACTATTTCTGTACTTTACATCAGCACAGGAGCAGAGAGAGGTAAACCAGATCCGTACTTTACATCAGAACCGGAGCAGAGACAGGTAAACCAGATCCGTACTTTACATCAACACCGGAGCAAAGACAGGTAAACCAGATCCGTTCTTTACATCAGCACCGGAGCAAAGACAGGTCAACCAGATCCTACTTTACATCAACACCGGAGTAGAGACAGGTAAACCAGATCCGTACTTTACATCAACACCGGAGCAGAGAGAGGTAAACCAGATCCGTACTTTACATCAACACTGGAGCAGAGACTGGTAGATTCAACTCCAATTGTATTATTTTTTTTTCTATCCGATATATCTCTCCAGAGGTGTTGATTTAAATCCTATTTCTATCTGTATACTCTTTCCTGTCCTATCTATAAACTCTGTCCTGTTCTGTAAGTATAAACTGTCCTGTCCTATCTGTATATTCTGTTCTGTCCTGTGTTTACTCTTTCCTGTTCTTTTTGTATACAATTTCCTGTTCTATATGTTAACGATATCATGTTCTATGTAAATGTATACGATATTATGTTCTATATGTATAACCTGTCCTGTTCTATCTGTAATCTGTATACTATATCATGTTTAATCGGCATATTCTGTCCTGTCCTATCTGTACAATCTATTATGTCCTATCTATTGTCCTATCTGTCCTAAGGTTAAAACTTGTTGATTATCAATTAGAAAATCAAACAATTATCAGTTATCTGTATTTATGCAGTCCTACGGATTAAAATCAATTCCTTTTTGGATATCCGGTAGTTTTCATACCTTGTAGAGATAAATGCAATTGATGGATCAAATGTTTATCCAAAAACTTACAGTGAGTATCCAGATTAAGAACTGTAGATCAGCGCTATTTCATACAAAAGTTTTGACCTTTATTTTCTAGGCTGAGGTGGGTAAGGATGTAAGCTTCCACTGCTCTGTGGAGAATATTGGAACTAGCACCTTGATATGGAAGAAAGAGAACAGGATAATCAGTGCTGGGACAACCATTATTAGGAAGGACAAACGTTTTAGGTAAATACAATTCATCTAAAGAGAGGAAATGAACTCTTGTCTCAAACTTGAATTTTCTAATCCAAATATTTTTGCAACATGATGTCGTATGACCTTTAATATTTAAAATTATCATATTTCTGCTTGTTCATATGCTTACACCATCCGATTTGCAATGGGGATTATGAAATTTCAATTTTAATTTTAATTAGTAGAGGAGAGGTTTCCTAAACCAGAATTTGATAAAAACCGTTCATTGTGGTCCTCAAAAATACGTGGAAAATCTCTTTATCTTGGACTCAGCACAACTTTTTAAAAGTCAGTCGAGGGCGGCTTATTCCTGATTCTTTTTATAGAAATAATCGGATAAATCTGTAAAATTAATAATTCTTCTTTTATCTTTAGCAATTATGCTCTTCCCACTCCACAGAGAAATTTCAAAACCCGTTTAATTTTAATCATTTTCATTAAATCTTGAAAAATTGAATACAATTTTAAGTGGAACCAACCATATTTGAGCCGCGGCTTAAATCTAAGCCGCGGCCTAAATTTAAGCCTCGGCTCAAATTCTTTAAATTCGGCCTAAGATTATGTTAAAGGAATTTAGTGCTTATTACAAACTCTCTTTGAAACCCAATGTTGTAGACCTTAGATATTTCAAACTATGAATTCTGTTTGATCAATTTCAATAATTTAAATATAAAAGGTTTACATTATCATGTTGCAAAGATATGGGGATGAGAGAATTTGAATTTGTGGCAAAGACTCAATTCCTTTCAAATAATTTATCTATATTGTCTACGCAAAAAATTCGATGAAGTCCTTGACTCTTCAGCTGGTCACGTGATTTCATGTTATTGGTTTGAAGTTCTCACCTAGAATCTAGAATCTTGAAATTCATCGTCAAACTAGTTTTATATTTCAACCGGAGTAAATAAACGATATGCGTTCGACAAAAAAGGGAAAACAATATTTACAAAAATAAGATAAAATTTGATTTTTGTAATTTTTAATTGCGGTTTATCTACGAAGGGACTTGCACATTTATGCTCCAGGACCAGTTCAGGAAACTGTCAAAATTAAACATTAGCTATAATAACGATGATAGTTTCCAGAATATTAATCAGATAAAGGTTTAAAGGGTACCGTTGTGAATCGAGTACAAACCTAATAAAAGGTTGGTTAAAACTAAGACGACAGTCATATTTAGATAGAAAACCGACGATACCAAATTGAATCCACTTTTTTTTGGGCTATATGGGGATTGCTTGAAATTAAGCCTACAGTTACTTTCAGATCTCGTATTGCTAAATACTTAGTTATATTTAAAGGGTTTCTTTTTCTGTATTTTCAGAAGTTTTCATCTTGAGATAATTGACAGATTAACAGGTAAAATTTCAGTTTTCAATAAGAACTAATTCCGTTTTTTCTTTAGCTTGTCCGGATACAATTTGACTCTGCATGACGTGGACGTGAGGTAATTTTGTTTTGACAATATTCGAATTTGATAATCATTTATCACCTATCACTAAATGATTGTTTTTAAATTCTCCGCCCGCAATAAAGAAAAGGCTTGAGGTTAAAGAATGATAGATTTTACTGAATTCAATATCAGGTTTAAATACAGTTCTCAAACCAATCCAAACCTTATCATTTATGTATCAACTATTATAGCAAAGTTTATTTAAAGATTGTCAAATGTTTCAGTAAATTGAAAGTGGTAGACATTTTATTAAAGAAAAGGTTGAGATAGCAAAACAAGTTACAGGATTTTAAATCAATTAACCTATTCTACAATTTTCATACATTAAGTCATGAAATTCATGATTTATTTTAAATTTTGAGAAGTTGTAATCATCATTTAAATGCTATATAGATGAATTGATAAATTTTTGTTTTAATTATTGAACTGATTCATAATGTTCATTGAAATATTGTCTTATTACTGATTTATTAATTACTTGATTATTTTATTGTTCAAATGATTTTAAGATTTAATTAATTAAATGTTTATGATTTTATAACCAAAGAGAATAGAATATATATTAGAGTGGAATTTACTAGAAAAAAGTGTAAAACGGCCATTTTTTTGTATTGTTTCCATACTGCAGGTGTACTTTGTGCTATATAACCTTTTGGGCCCTGAAACATCATTTTATAGAAAATCTAAAATTAATATTAAAAGAAAACCAAATTATGAAATAGGCTAGTTTCATAATTGAAAAATGATCATTTCACATAGACTCTAGGCCTTTCACTTTACAAACGATGATGTTCCGTTATAACTATAAATCAAATGATGTTTTTTATTCACCTAATTTATTTTATAAAGTTTATCTAACAGCTTTAAAAAATTCGAAATTGAAATGGACAGTCTAGGGAACGTACTGTATTAATGTACTCTACTGCATATAATTTGTGAACCTTTACATGATTTGTACACTTTGAACTCCCTTTCAGGCTGAAAGGGACTGACAAAATTCATACCGAGGAATTTTCTAAATTCCACTCTAATATATATTCTATTCTCTTTGTTTGATTGTTTGTTTATTCAAATGTATGTACATGTACATATGTCAGATCAAATTGATTGATTTATCCTCAGGGATGAAGGAGGGTATGTTTGTGAGGTTGATGCGAATAAAACTACTATTGATTGGTGGATTGATTGATTAATTAGTTAATTAGTTGTTTTATAGATGGTTTAATTGTTTAATTATCAAGGAAGACGGAGAGTGTGTATGTTGAGACGTATACCACTTCTATTGATTAATTGTTTAGTTGATTGCTTGATTAATTGTTTGATTATCAGGGATGAAGGAGAGTATGATTGTGAGGTTGAGATGTATACGACTCCTATTGATTAATTGATTAATTGATTATTTGATTGTTTGATTAATTGTTTGATTATCAGGGATGAAGGAGAGTATGTATGTGAAGTTGAGACGTATACGACTCCTATCCGACAAATAAGTTTACTCCAGGTTCTTATACCACCCTCAGTTGCTCCGCATCCAGAGGTATACTTGATATTTCACAGATCGGAGATATTTAAACATTTTGAGACTTTAGAGATTTCAAAGAATTTTGAGAGAATTCAAAGTGATTTAAAGTAGACATCGAAGTGATTTTAGAGACTTTGAGTGATTTTAGAGGCTTTTGAATGATTTTTAGAGAAAGTTTGTGACTTTAGCGTTCATACATATCACAGTGTCAGTGAGAATTTTAAATAGGTTCACTCTAATCTACATGTATCAATTATTAATCATGTGAATATTATCAATTACTTTGAATACCCAAAGAAAACTTGGTAGATTTTGGGATAATTTGTATTTCTGATTTTATGGGTTAGTTTGTTGAAAGGGAAAAGGAATTGTGTTTTCTAATCCATATACATGATGTATATATCCATATAACCTTTCAATGATATTTCAATTCACTCAGATCAACAAGTTTGATGTATGAAAGGTTTACAAGTACACTGTCAGGTTTCAAGTTAATAAGAATGAGATAATTTGAGTTTGTGGCAAACCCCCTGTAAAAACTGGCAATGATACAAAACTTGAGTTTAAGAAAGAAAAGCTGTATAAATGTTCTCGAAATATTTCCTTGATTAATTGTTTTATTATTCTTCCTTGAGTTCAAGGTTCATCAATCATTTGATCAAGAACTAATCGGTTCCATTTCTTTCTAACTGTGTTAATTGTAATCTAATTGTACACTTGGATTAACTGTAAACTCAAGTCCTTTTTCAAGGTCTTTATGTAGACTTAATTTGGCGGGAGAAAGAAACTAAAACTCTTTATTTTTAAACTATAAAATCTGTTAAATCACATTATTAAGTTTTGGTTGCATTTGGTTGCACAAATATTGGGATTAGGATAAAAGAGTTTTTAAGGCGAGTTTTCAATTTAATTTTCAAAATAATCTCACTAAAGCCAACGGAACCGAACACCTTGATAGGTTTATTTGCATTATAATTTTTTTCTCATCACTACTTTCTGAATAAATAACATTTTTTCATCGCAAGCTATTTAAATAGTCTGATGATGTTTCTGCTTATAAAACACTCTTTGAGTGATCATCATTAAATGCAAGAATGACGGATTTCCAAAAAGGCATTGAGTCATTGTCACAAACTCAAACTTTCTGATCCCTTTATATTTTCAACTTGTGATGGTGTTAGTCCTTGTTATTTCAATCTAAGATTAATTGATCTTCAGAACTCATAGTTTGAAATACCTAAAGTCTACAACAAAGATATAGAGATGAGACAATGAGAATTTGTAAAAAAAGACTCAATTCCTTTATTTCTTTTTTTGTAAATAATTTATTTCAAGTTTTTTTATAATTTAATAAATTTTGTACGAAATAGAGCAAATAGCTACAGTGAATCCCAGATATATGAATACATAGCAAGAGTTTTTCATAATGTCGTATTACATATTTAAGATCAAATGCTGCGGAAAATGAGTTTAAAATTAGTATATCAATTGCATTCATATTTCACTGCTATTAATTTACCTTATACATTATACAAAACTCTTGCTATGTATTCATACATCTGGGATTCACTGTTGTAAAAAAGATGTTTTTACTGCGAACAAAAAGAGTGCATTAATTTTACAATAAGACATTTTCATCCATTAACATTAACTTTGTAAAAGCATGCGATATTCTGCAGAAATTCTTTTAAAATTAATAGTTTTTAAACGGTTCCCTTTTTAAACATTAAACTGTGTAAATGTTCCACAATGGAGAATATAGATAAAAATAAAATTATAAAGTTTATATGTTAAAGCGAACCCAGGACAATAACTTTATGCACATTACACAAGGAGATTTACATACAGGGTTATTTTGTGTACCTGTTTACATGTTTATAGTCTGCAACAGCAAATACAAATGCTAAATAATAATAATAATAATAATAATAATAATAATAATAAACCTAAACCAACTATATCCTGGAGCATGAAGGTATTCCCCCCCTCCACATAATCCCACTCCCCCCTATCCTACCCCTTAAAACAATCGTTACATCTTTAATTCTTTATATTTTCAGGGTCGTCAGATCAGTTTAAATATGTTTGGTTCAAATCAAAACAATGCTGTTCTTGGAGAAGCGATACTTCTGGAGGAAACAAACCTATTTATCAAGATTATTTACGATTTTAAGATTCAATGATTTCTTTAAAATATGCAGTGATCACTAAAAATTTAAGTGTACCCGGAAAACGACATTTTACAGTTTTCAATGTTATTTTTTCGAAATTTTTTCACAACATTGACAAAAATATTTAATGAATATTATTTAAAACCTTTACTTTACGTTTTCTTGAATCTGTATTCTAAATCTGAGTGTAAGTTCTAAATGTAGTTTTCTTGAATCTGTATTCTAAATCTGAGTGTAAGTTCTAAATGTAGTTTTCTTGAATCTGTATTCTAAATCTGAGTGTAAGTTCTAAATATAGTTTTCTTGAATCTGTATTCTAAATCTGAGTGTAAGTTCTAAATATAGTTTTCTTTAATCTGTTTTCTAAATCTGAGTGTAAGTTTTAAATATATAGTTTTCTTGAATCTGTTTTCAAAATCTGATTGTTTGTTGATCAGAATATATCCCGAGAGCATGCTGGTAGATACGAGTGCTCTGCTAACAACGGAGTAGGATCTGCTGCACTAGCGGAGATCTCTCTAACTGTTCTTTGTAAGTTTTATATTAAATCTATTTTTTAGATCCTCTGAGATTTAGATTTTTAAACTATCCTCAGATACGATTCTTATACACCCTTGACATCCAATTCTTAAACACCCCTAATATGCGAAAATAACTATTTAAACACCCCCTAGAGCATTAAGTTTAGACACCCTATTATTTGTATGTTTAGACATTCCTGATATCTATATATGTTTAGACACCTCTTATATCCGTATGTTTAGACACCCCTGATAACCATATAAGTTTAAACACCCTGATATCCGTATGCTTAGACACCCCTGAGATCCGAATGGAGAGAAGGTTAAGTGCTGACCGATATCAGATTGAACTGGAAATATTCTGCACAGTTCACGCCGAACCTAAACCAGTAGTCAGGTACTTGGTACAGTACACGCTGAACCTAAACCAGTCAGGTAAAGTACATGCTCAACCTAAACCAGTCAGGTACAGTACACGCTTAACCTAAACCAGTCAGGTACAGTACAAGCTGAACCTAAGCCAGTCAGGTACAGTACAAGCTGAACCTAAACCAGTAGTCAGGTACAGTACACGCTGAACCTAAACCAGTCAGGTACAGTACAAGCTGAACCTAAACTAGTAGTCAGGTACAGTACACGCTGAATCTAAACCAGTCAGGTACAGTACACGCTGAACCTAAACCAGTCAGGTACAGTACAAGCTAAACCTAAACTAGTAGTCAGGTACAGTACACGCTGAACCTAAACCAGTAGTCAGGTACAGTACAAGCTGAACCTAAACTAGTAGTCAGGTACAGTACACGCTGAACCTAAACCAGCAGTTAAGTATGAATCTGTAAGTGTAGAATAATGTCTAAGTTACATATTGGTATCATTAAGCCAGTAATGTTTACCGTGTATGCCTGATTAAACTACTAACGATACGAATACACTTATATAGATGTGGTTTACATTATACAAATACAGTCTGCAATTAACAGTAAACAGTGGGTCCCAAGGTAATGTGGAAACGAAGAATGCTTCTAAAAGAATTGAAAAAGTTTCTGTAGACTAAGCTCGGCTCAAAATTGGAATTTATGGCGCAAACAACTGGATTCATTGGAAAATATTAAAATATGTATAACTTTAAGATTTTAGATCGTTTTCCTTTTAAGTTTGTTTTATCGACATCTAAAGGAATTTAGTCTTTGCCGCAAGCTCAAATTTTCTAATCCTTACATCTTTGCAACCATAGGGTGTGAAACTTTGATATTTCAAACTTTGACTATTTGATCTAACAAAAATATTTGAAATATTTTAGGTCTACGACATCGGGTCATGCCAAGATATATGGATTAGAAAATCAGAGTTAGTGACAAAGACTCAGTTTATTTAAATAAACTTGTTAAATAAATTATAAATATTCTTTTATTTTCTTTAACATTATTTTAAATTTCATGAATCGTGTAAAGTACAAATGGAAAAGTTTATTAATTAAATATGAATAGACTTAATTTTAAATAACACACGTCACGGGAATTTTGTTTAAAATGCTAATTCACGCTGAGAGATTTTGCCATATTGAGAACATTGTGAACATTGTTTTTTTGTTTGTTTTATAAGTTTTTTAACAAATAAACATGAAGTCGGAAGTTTTGTGTATAATATTGTTAATCTTGAACGTTTAATCTTGATATCCAATGTGAGCACTTTTAGATTTGAGGATAAAAGCTTGATCCATAAGAAAGAGTTATCCCACCATGGTATATCGAAGTGGAATCAAACTAGTCCGTTATTGTGCATAGTGCCGGAGATCAATGCTTGATTCTGAGATTTGCAACATAAAATAGCTCTAAATCTGATTCTTATATTATCTGTGGCGGTTTTCAAAAGTTTAATGGTGAAAACTGGACAATCTGCTGCAGCCACTTTGTCACAATCTCTGATTTGATGATCACTATATTTTGCAACCCAATGTCATAACTATGCATTCTCTTGGATAAAAAAATGTAAGCTTGAAATAGACCTAGAGAATAGAATTTATAATAGAGGGAAATTTACTAGAAAAAAGTGTAAAACGGCCATTTTGTTGTACTATTTCCATACTGCAGGTGTACTTCACATATTTATGCTATGTAACCTTTTGGGCCCTGGAATATCATTTTATAGAAAATCTAAAATTATTGTTAAAATAAAACCAAATTATAAAATAGGCTGGTTTCAAACGATGATTTTCCGTTATAACTATAAATCAAATGATGTTTTTTATTCACCTAATTCATTATAAAGTTTACTTAACAGCTTTAAAAAATTCGAAATTAAAATGAATATGAAAATGAACATACTGTATTAGTGTACTTTACTGCTTATAATTTGTGAACATTTACATGATTTGTACACTTTGAACTGCCTTTCAGGCTGAAAGGGACTGAAAAAATTTATACCGAGAAATTCTTTAAATTCCCCTCTAATATATATTCTATTCTCTATGGAAATAGACCATAAGGTTGCAAAAATATTGGCATTTGAAAATTTGAGTTTGTGGCAACGACTCAATTGTTGTTGTGTTGTTGTGAAAAGCGTTTATAGCAGTAATTAATTGTTGTTGTTGAATCCGTTAGAAAAAGAGTGATTATTTTATTAGATGGTACAAGGACTCTATGCTGCTGGATCCTGGAACCAATAGGATCATGGAATCAAACAACAATAGGTACAGTACAATACAGTACAATAGAATATTAAAATATACTTAGGTTACATTTACATCATTCTTGAAATAATTTTAGCGTTTTAATTTTACTTCCAACAAAAGCTTTGAATTTTGGGAGGCCAAGTGTTTTCACTTCAATCAGACATAAACCTGCCTTTACTTCAATCAGACATAAACCTGTCTTTATTTCAATCAGACATAAACCTGCCTTTAGTTCAATCAGACATAAACCTTCTTTTACTTCAATCAAACATAAACCTTCTTTTACTTTAAATTAGACATAAACCTGCCTTTACTTAAATCAGACATAAACCTTCCTTTGTTTCAATCAGACATAAACCTTCTTTTACTTCAATCAAACATAAACCTTCTTTTACTTTTATTAGACATAAACCTGCCTTTACTTCAATCAGACATAAACCTGCCTTTGTTTCAATCAGGCATAAACTACATGTACTGAGAATGTATGTACTATGTACTGATTTATATTGTTTAATATGTCTAGGCATAAACTACATGTACTGAGAATGCATGTAATATGTACTGATATATATATTGTTGTACATGTCCAGGCATAAACTACATGTACTGAGAATGCATGTAATATGTACTGATATATATATTGTTGTACATGTCCAGGCATAAACTACATGTACTGAGAATGTATGTACTATCTACTGATATATATTGTTGTACATGTCCAGGCATAAGCTACATGTACTGAGAATGGGTGTGGCTGACCTAGGAAATTACTCCTGTATGGCGGAGAATAGTTTAGGAAAAGAACGAGGATTTTTGCAGATTTCAGGTAAATTTTGACACAAAAAGATTCCATGAAATTATCAAAATCTTTCTTTTGCTTCGCAATGGAAAAGTAAATAGTTCAATCTCAATTTATTTGCTTGTCATTGGTTCTGTGAATCAGTGTTAGGTAGATCAGTGTGTTGGATAGGTTGCAGTCATTAGTCGAACATGATGTGCACTTTCTAATGTTTTTAAGTGGATTAATTCTCTTCCAACTAGGGGAGCCGTTGACCCCTGTGATAACCAGCCCTGAGATGTCCTTCAAGAGTACAGAGTACACCTTGAGATGGAATACAGTTAGCTTACTTGTCATATCAGAGTACAGAGTACTATTCAGACTACGCCAGGTAGGATAGTACAGCTTACTTGTCATATCAGAGTACAGAGTACTATTTAGACTACGCCAGGTAGGATAGTACAGCTTACTTGTTATATTAGAGTACAGAGTGCTATTCAGACTACTCAAGGTAGGATAGTACAGATTACTTGTCATATCAGTCAGAGTACAGAGTGCTATTCAGACTACTCCAGGTAGGATAGTACAGATTACTTATCATATCAGAGTACAGAGTACTATTCTGACTACTCAAGGTAGAATAGTACAGATTACTTCTCATATCAGTCAGAGTACAGAGTGCTATTCAGACTACTCCAGGTAGGATAGTACAGCTTACTTGTCATATCAGAGTACAGAGTACTATTCTGACTACTCAAGGTAGAATAGTACAGATTACTTCTCATATCAGTCAGAGTACAGAGTGCTATTCAGACTACTCCAGGTAGGATAGTACAGCTTACTTGTTATATTAGAGTAGTGCTATTCAGACTACTCCAGGTAGGATAGTACAGCTTACTTGTCATATCAGAGTACAGAGTGCTATTCAGACTACTCCAGGTAGGATAGTACATGTGCATACACCCTACAACCTAGTTGTATATATTATTGTGAAATGTATTATCATACGACATACATGAAACGTTGATAAAATAAAGTGACTTGGGCACTTGCAATCATAATCTTTCCCAGTTTTGTATGCATATTAAGATTTTACAGCTTTAGCAATTTTATAATATATGTGCAAGGCAATACGATTTAAAGGAATTGAGTCTTTGCCACAAACTCCGATTTTCTCATTACTATATTTTTGCAACTAAACCATTTTAATATTTTATTTGAAACTATGAGACCTGTTTTAATCTAAGTTTGAAATATCAAGTTGTAAAGATATGGGGGTTTGAAAATTTCAGTTTGTGGCATTGACTTAATTCCTTTCAAAGTTCACGACTGCCCTGTACAATGTTCATTGTACAGTGCACAGTGTACATGAATGAGTAGTGTACATGAAATATAAATAATCTGGTTAAAGTTTAGTTTGCTGAGACTAATTGAAGTATAAGAAGAAGAATAATGTTTCTATTTAAATCTAATCCAAGTTAGTTCAAACTTTTCCTATTTTATAACAAGGTGTTAATCAGCTGTCTACCTGGATACGCCGCCATCTGAATTCAGAGATTAATGGGAAAATAATACTTTTTTAAAACGGGATATTTAACATGTAGGGTTACCCACAAAGGATGAGAGATTATAGACGACTGTTCAGAATTGATGGTGTCTGTTTTCTTGTATTTGTGAATCCCTGAAACTTTCTATGATTGTAAGATCATTAAATGAGATATTAAAAGGGTATAAATTAAGACAGAAAGCTTAGTTTAAAGCTGGGTTCGTCTTATTTCAAGAGCTTTAAAGGTCAATTTACAATCTCATGTCCTCAGTGGGTAACGCAGTACAAAACTAATAAGCCATCTTTATCATGCAAAAACACGAGAATAACCATACAAATAAATATATAAATAAAAAGAATTTATATACAGATAAAGAGAATTGCTATGCAATTGTAGAGAATTTTCATACAAATATATAGAACTTTATACATATATAGAGAATATTAATACAAAAATAGAGAACTTTCATACAAATATAGAGACTTTTCATGCAAATATAAAAAATGTTCATACAAATATAGATAATTTTCATACAAATACATAGAATTTTCATAGAAATATATAGAATATTTTCATACAAATATAGAGAACTTTTATACAAATATAGAGAATTTTCATACAAATATAGAGAATTTTCATACAATTATAAAGAATTTTCATACAAATATAGAGAATTTTCATACAAATACAGAGACTTTTCATACAGATTTAGAGAATTTCCATACAATTATAAAGAATTTTAATACAAATATAAAGAATTTTCATGCAAACATAGAGAATTTGTATACAAATATAGAGAATTTTCATACAAATATAGAGAATTTTCATACAAATATAGAGAATTTTCATACAAATTTAGAGAATTGTTATACAAATATATAGAATTTTTATACAAATATAAAGAATTTGCATACAAATATAAAGAATTTTCATACCAATATTAAGAATTTTTACACAAATATAGAGAATATTTATACAAATATAAACAATTTTCATACAAGTGTATAAGAGAATTTTCATACAAGTTTAGAGAATTTTAATTCAAATATAGAGAATTTTCATACAAATATAGAGAATTTTCAGACAAATATAGAGAATTTTCATACAAATATAGAGAATTTACATACAAATATAGAGACTTTTCATGCAATTATAGAAAATTTTTATACAAATATAAACAATTTTTATACAAATATAGAGAAATTTCATTCTAATATAGAGAATTTTTACACAAATATAGAGAATTTTTATATAAATATAGATAATTTTCATGTAAATATGGAGAATTTTCGTACAATTATAAAGAATTTTCATACAAATATAGAGACTTTTCATGCAAATATAGAGAATTTTTACACAAATATAGAGAATTTTATATAAATATAGAGAATTTTCATACAAATATAGAGCATTTTTATACAAATATAGAGAATTTTCATTCAAATATAGAGAATTTTCATACAAATATAGAGAATTTTTATACAAATGTAGAAAATTTTCATACAAATATAGAGAATCTTTATATAAATATAGAGAATTTTTATACAAATGTAGAAAATTTCTGTACAAATGTAGAAAATTTCTATGCAATTATAGAATTTTCATACAAATCTTTAAAATAATTTTCTTAAGTTTTACCCTGTTTATCTGTGCCCCCGCCGGTCCATGACAATGATTAAAGGTATTCCGCAATTATAAATACTTTCAATTGTTTCATTAATACTTTCTTAATGATCTGATAATTATCTATTTATTTACAAACTATTTATTATCCTTGGTTAGGAGCAATAAACAATAAAAAACAAGAATTGGAACAGATTCTTGATTCATCGTAAAACGTTATTAATTTTGGTTTAAATAACTCAAAAAGAAGGTTGAATAATGCATCCATTAGATCAAATCAAACTGAAAAATATTTGCTTTTTTGTTTTAGTTCTAATTAATTTTTGTTCATCATCACAAACTATATCTTTACAAAAATGTAGTATATTTAAGGGACTGTAAAGGAAAAATGAAAGGGGGTATGGGATGAAACCTGAGAGCCTCAGGAGTTGAACGATATATAAGACTTCTATCTGATGTTCCTGTCTCGAGAAATTAATATAAAACTGTGTCAAAATTTTACGAAAATCTAGTTAGTAGTATAAGTAGTAGTTTTAAACAGATCATTTTCAGCAAATAGGCAAACAATCTGAAAACGATTATATCCCACGATTGTATCTTATCTATCTATAACCATTCATCTAACACTTCCTCTCTCCTCTCTGTTATCTGGTTGTTTAATGAGCACTATGATTCCGATGATTTATTAATTATAATTCACGATCACATAGGAAAAACAAACTCGCTTAAAGTAAGCCAATTGCGAGAGGCTTAGTGCAGGGATTTCTTAGCAACACTACATGGTATGTGTTCTTATTACTGGTCGGGCTTTGTACTACTCAAATCCTGGTTCAATTTCAGGGTGAAAATATCAAATAACAATTTACAAGATAAACATACATGGATCTAAATTGAATGATAAATTGATAAATTGATACATCATTAAATTAATAATTCTTGTTATGGGATATAACCACCCCTTAACCAAGCCAACCATTTAAAACCATATACATAGAGAAAAGATAGAAATCCAAGCGCCAGATACAACTGGTGTATATAAAGGTATTCTAAGAAGGCATTCATGTGAAACAATAATACATCATTAAATTATAATATTTTGTTTGATAGTTGTCATTTGTCATGTAAAAAAGTCGGCAATAATATAAAACATTTCTTTCTGATTTTATAAGTAAAATCCCAAACTGTAAGAATCCCAGATGAATGTTTACAAATGTTGGGATTGGAAGGATTGGGATTAGGATGAGGACTAGGAAGTTGGAATAGGTTGGACAGGGATCAACTGGGAAAAGATAAAATAGGTTGAGAATTGGGATGGATACCAACTAAAGAGGAAGTTGGGATTGGGATTCAACGAATGTGAGGATGATAAAAAGGGTTGGTAAATCGGGAGTTGGAGTAATTGGGAAGATTGAGCAATGAAAAGATGTTCTACGGGGACCACAGTATTGGAAAGAGAATCAGCAAGATATTGAAGTTCAGAACAGAGATACAGATATAATAAAATATGTGTGTACAGACTATGGAGAAAATGTAGTTTAGTGGGTACAAATGTTATTAAGGGGTGAAGACGACATTTTGGAAGGAATTGGTGGATTACTGTTAAGTTGGGATAAGAGAGAGAAAAGAGTATAAAAATCATCATTAGAATCATTCAATACTCTGAAACAATGTAATAATATTATCAATTATATCTATTAACAATGCAAAATGAAAATTAAATGATTATAACAGGAGAAAACCTAAGATTCTCAGGTTTCTGTGCGATATCGTCGTTTTCAGATTGGTTTCGTATTTGTGGAAAATGATCTGTTTTATACTACAACATTTATACAAAATTGCATATATTTGAATTTTCGTATAAATTTGACACAGAAACATCAGATAGATGCCTTATGTGTATCGTTCAACGCCTGAGATTCTCAGGTTTCATCCTGTACCCCCTTTCATTTTTCCTTTACAGTCCCTTTAATAATGAATTATTTTGAGGAAATTTTTCAGTTTGACCGTCCAAAAACCTTTTCTCAGGTCATAAGGTCCCACAAAAAAATTTGGACTCATCGATTCAGCCATCATCTATTATTCTATCACTATCTATGTTTTTATCTATCTATTTATCTATCTATCTATCTATCTAGGCTGGGTATAGAGGGGATGAACGTGAATGGACAAATATAATCCCAACTGTTGATTCACCATTGAACACTAACTATTTTTAAAAAGTGATTACAAAGTTTAATCTTGTTCGATTATTTTTCAATTGAATTGTTTTAAATATTTAAAATCGAGGTTTTGTGACATTCAGGAGAAAATTGGTTTTTTGGCTAAACTTTGTTTTTGATATCTCCAGCTTTTCAAAACATTTAAATGTCTTTGTAAATGAAGATCACATTTGAATAAATAGAATATATTCAACCTTTATTTAAACAAAATGTTAACTTTTTCATTAACTTCTTCTTCTATTTTCTCCTAGCACGACTTAAACATCAGGTTTTGAAAGGAAATGAATCTTTGCAACAAACTCTGATTTTTAAATTCCTATATCTTTGCAACCAAATATCGTAAACCTTAGATATTAAAGTATATGAATTCTTTAAGATCAAATAATCTAAGTTTGAAATATCAATGGTTTACATAACCTGCAGATTGTGAAGATATAGGGATTAGAAAATTTGAGTTTGTGGCAAAGACTCAATTTCTTTATCAAATGGTTCAAAGAAATGATCATTGAATTGTGTTATCTTGACTAAATATTGGTTAATTTAGAACTATATCTGTGAAATATAAATGGAAAAGATTTGGTTTGATTTGTTGGTCAGCTTTAATAGTTAATACTGGAGCTTTCAAGACGTCTGTAAAGTCCTGATGAACAAATTCACTGTTTCTTTCTTGGTTTTTGAACGAGAGACAAAGATGAAAATTATTATATCTCTTTTTAGCCTGAAAATGCCATGATTTTTAAACAATTATGCAGATGATTTTAAAGAAAATCAGACCATGGGAGAAGTTAAAATTTAAAAAGCTATATAAACAAAAAACCTAGGAATCAAGCCAATTATTTGCTTTTAGATTTCTCTTCTTTGATGTATCTTTAAAATGTATTTCTCAATGTGAATTAACCTATAATTGGTCAAGTAACATTAAAAAATAATCACACATTTTGTACAATTTGATAAATCAGAAAAAACCTAATACTTTTATTTTTATTCCCCCTCTCCCCCCCTACATTTTAATGTAAATTTCTCCTTCCCATCATACCATTATCATGTCTTTTTTCTATTGTTATGTTTGAATTCTAGACTGCAGGGTATACAGTATAGTGAAAACTTTACATTCTATGACTTGCAGCCGGAATCCCTTTATGAGGTAAATAATCATATTTATTTGGAACCATCAACTTTTTAAGACATTTAAATTGAAATTGTGAATATAAATCGACGTTGAATAGTTATTCCATGGTCTAAATTATTCTGATAGTGATGCACGTAAAGATTATCAAAAAATGTAAAATATTTGTTAGAAAAATTACGCGAAAACGGTCGTCTTTGTGCGAGTCTAAGTGCCTCAATATTCTAAACGGTTACTCAATGGCTACCCTCAAAGATTGAGACTATAAAGTAGGGCAAGGCACGTTTCGACTTTTTCCAAGTAGTTTTTTTCAGGTTGCCGTTTGTTCTATAAATAAGAACGAATGATATTTTAGAAATCGTTAACGGTTCCAGACACTAGCAAGCCGTTAACAATGATTTTATGTAAAATATTTAAACAAAATATTAAAAAGCCTCAAAACACAAAAATAATCTGTAGATTGTTTTTTTTTATTTTCTGTACGTTTTATGTAATTATTTATAAACATATCCGTTCGTTTTTCCGTCTGTGTAAGATATCAAAATTAACGGATTTTGTCCTTTTTTTCAAGGACACTTATGTTAATTTTTAAAAATTTGTCCTTTTTTAAGAGACTTTATCAACTTTTCCTTACATATTCGATCATTAAATATGTTTGTAAAATGTTCAGGTGATGGTTCAGGCACAAAATACAGAGGGATGGTCTTCAGCCTCTCCTTCATTCACATTCTCCACTCCCAGGTGAACAAATTTATGTCTAATGGAGGGGGATGGGGAAATTCCCCCCCCCCCCCCCGCCCCTCCTCTAATCCCCCCTTGCAGCTTTCTGTTTGCTGCATTTCTGTAATTTTAAAACTGTCACCTTGAAATTCATGAATTGAAAGAGAAAGTGATTGAAAGAATCTTTGAAAACAATTTTTTATCAAGTGTCTGAACAATCAACATTTAACAATGTTAAACTTACAAACGATGATTATGAAAAAAAATAAAGCCACCCTGTATGTTTGCAACATATAGAACGTTATGCTTAAACAGTGTTTAAGAAATAAATATCTAGATATTAAACATTTAGCAAAGGAACTGAGTTTTTATTTACCACAAAGTCAAACATTCTAATGCCTAAATCTGTGCAACCTGATGGTGTAAACATTTTATATTTCAAACTTAGACACTTTGATCTATCAGAAACCATAGTCTACAATATCATGGGTCTACAACATTGGGTTGCATAGATATAGAGATTCGAAAATCAGAGTTTGTGACAAAAACTCAGTTCCTTTAGAACAATAAGGAAAGTATACCTCTTATCACAGACAAATTCCATAATTAATATTACTCTTTAAGCATTAGTTTCTAGACAATGTACATTCCTTTACAAAAATCTGGTTCTTACTAAGCAACACTTTTCACTGTAATTCCGATATAAAGTCAAAATAGATAAGAAGAAATCAAAAAGGTGTTTCCAGGGGCGTATTCAGGCATTTGTCAAGGGGGGGGGGGCTTAAATTTTTTTTCCAGGGGGGGGGGCTCAGCACCCGTTGGGGCCTGAAACCCCGCTGAAATCCATAGATTTCACTAATCGGGGGGGGGGGGGCTTAGCCCCATAGCCCCCCTCCCCCGAATACGCCTCAGGTTTTATCATAAAACAATCTTTAAAAAACATGTTTAACACTTTCTTAGTAAACCGTAATCTTTGTTATTTTTGCTGATTTGAGAATCACCAAAAAAAGCTAAAAAAGCTAAAAAATAAAAATAAATTTTAAAAAATAATTTTAAGGTTTGATGTTGAAGATCGAAGTTATCTAACCAGCACTAGCGGAGTAGCTGGTCAATCAGTCATGATAAATTCTGGTCTACTGCGCAACTGTTTGCGCATGTTACTACCTGTATTCTTGTTTTTATGTTAAAATATAACTAATTTACATATTTGTAATTTTCTTCACCTCACAACACCATTCACCTCAGCTGTAAAGTAGGTTTAATAAACAGCGACACCTGAGGTTTTCTAGAACTAATATGAAGATTTTTAGAAATCCCTGTCCAGCCCTTTTTGAGAAAATTACATTTAAGTTTGTTCTGAAGTTTAGACTTCTAAAAGGCGTTTGACTCAAAAGTTGTTAGGAAATCCGAAATCTGATTTTCAGTCAACTATCATCAGCATATGATACATTTGTCAATGCCAGATTATCAAATTGGAGGAAAATAACCATAAAAACAATGCCTTATAGGTTACAAACCTCAATTAATGAATTTTAAGCTTTTATCTATATAATAAAACAAGATATTCATCACGCAAATCTGCCCCTTTAGTAAAAGTAAATTCAACCTATATTAAGCATAAATTTGACCTCATCAACCTTGTTGCACAGGCTAGTCCTGTGCATAAAGCTAGGTACAGTACAAACTGGGACCGGAAAGGTTTACCCGGCTCGGAAATTCAAATGTACTACGACTACCTGTGTCATATGTATATTTATATGTTGCGTAAGCCGGCAAAACGATTGGACCGATTGGGCTGAAATTTGTTATGGACACTCATGGGTGGCCGGGGGGGGGGGGGGGGGGGGTTGTTATAGACTATTCGTTTTAAGAAGCAAAAATGTATAGGATTCAGACACTTTTTAATGGAATCCCTATAAATCATTAAGGGTTTAAGATATTTTCTAGCTTATTAGCCAAATGAAACCTTATTGCAGACTGAATGTTGTTGTCAAAGATACAATGCTACTCCCAGAGCGCCAAGCCACGCGCTAAGTCTAAGCGACATCACTAATAAGATAGAAAATATAGGAAAATCAACGAGAATCCCGAAAAATGTGCCGTCTGTAATTGTATGATTCGAAGAATAGGAAGAGAAAAGGAAACTGTTATTTAATCCCATTTTTACATATTTTTTTGTTTCTTAGTTGAGTATGTACTTAATACATACATAAACAATACTAGGCTTCCAGGGCGCTTCGCGCCCATCTTTAATTTTAACTTTTAATTATTGCTCTTTTATCGATTTTTTTGCGTGGAATTTGAAAATTCGAAATTTTCTTCAGGCAAATTTTGTCAATTCTAACCATCCAAGTCGTTTATCAGTTATAACAAACACAGTAGCATGGTATAATTACAATATACATACAATACATTACATAGACACAATTCAAAACAATTATCAGTGTTTCTAGAAACAAAGGTTAAAAATAATTATATACAGCGAGATGAATACGTCCAGAATATCGAGATATAGTTTAGGATGGGGTATACAGGGAAGGATAATGAATACAGTCAAATCTAAAGGATGAAGGATGGAAGATCTAAAAGATAAAGAACACAACAAGATAAAAAAGATGTGAACTACAGAGAGATCTACCGGATAAAGGATACAGAGGGAACAACTAAAGAATAGAGGATACAGGGAGATCTAAAGAATGGAGGATACATGGAGATATAAAGGATAAAGGATACAGGGAGATCTAAAGGATGGAGGGTACAGAGAGATCTAAAGGATGGAGGATACAGGGAGATCTAAAGAATAAAGGATACAGGGAGATCTAAAGGATGGAGGGTACAGAGAGATTTCATAGTACAGCTGTGGATCTTTTCGGACCTAAAAGGATCAAGGATACAGTAAAAGAGAGAGTACACAAGGATTGTTATGGTGTACTATTATCTAAAGGATAGAGGATACAGGGAGATCTAAAGGATAAAGGGTACAGAGAGATACAAAAGGATGGAGGGTACAGAGAGATCTAAAGGATGGAGGATACAGGGAGATATAAAGGATAAAGGGTACAGAGAGATACAAAAGTATGGAGGTACAGAGAGATCTAAAGGATGGAGGATACAGGGAGATATAAAGGATGGAGGATACAGGGAGATCTAAAGGATAAAGGGTACAGGGAGATACAAAAGGATGGAGGCTACAGATAGATCTAAAGGATGGAGGATACAGGGAGATATAAAGGATTGATGATACAGGGAGATCTAAAGGATAAAGGGTACAGGGAGATACAAAAGGATGGAGGGTACGGAGAGATCTAAAGGATGGAGGATTCAGGGAGATATAAAGGATAAAAGGTACAGAGAGATACAAAAGGATGGAGGGTACAGAGAGATCTAAAGGATGGAGGGTACAGGGAGATCTAAAGAATGGAGGGTACAGGGAGATCTAATGGATAAAGGGTACAGGGAGATATAAAAGCATAAAGGGTACAGGGAGATACACAAGGATTGAGTGTACAGGGAGATACAAAAGGATTGAGGGTACAGGGAGATACAAAAGGATGGAGGATACAGGGAGATCTAAAGGGAGAAATGGATGTAAATGGATATTTAGAAGTATATATATAGAGTATATATATAAAGATGGATGGAAGGTAGCAAGATATATAAAAAGTATAGAGGAAACCTGGATTAATAAGAAACGAACTAGAGTCATGATGGATAAAGATTCAAAAGATGGTTAATGGATATTGAGATATCTAAACGTTGGATAAAGGAAAGGAAACGAATGTCAGAATTCAAATTCAACTTTTGTAATTTTTAACTTTTCTGTTTTAGTGATGATCATTGAGAGCTTTGGATTGAAATATGAAATTTTAATTTGACTTGCTTTCATGTTTTACTATTCACTATAATTTAGAAGAACTGCAAGTAAACATATATATCATATTTTCACAAAATTTAGTTTGTATTGCGTCAAATGAAAAAGCTTAAAGAAAAAAAACCGTGAGTTGTGATATTGAAAATCGTGAAACTATGAATTGTGAAACTATGAATTGTGAAACTATGAATCGTGAAGACATTTCATACAATTTTCCTAATATTCATGAAGACTAGAGGAGAGGAGGTAATGTGCCATCTAAATGTAAATTTTCCCGGGGGATTTATGGGGACTCTACTCAGTATGTTATAAGTGAGGGGGGGGGGGTATTGGGAAAAACTTTTCTATAAAAAAATGATAAAGACAATTGTGTTACCAGAATTGTTAGTCGCGTGAATATTTACCAATAATTAATTGTTATATTTGATAAACCAGCAATTTTTAACTTTTGGACAAACCCCTTATAGGCCCTTTGGTGGAGTAAAAACTAACAAAAAGAATAAAGAATTTGAAGAAAAGAGCCAATTCTTAAAAGAATGTATCTTTAGTTTTCTCAATACAAAGCATCAAATATTTGTTTTTATGGAAACATTTTTTCCAATCAGGAAAAAAATCTAACAGCACAGTTTCGCTTTTAATGTTTACTCTTGTTAGGAATCCAAAATTGATTATTTATTTGTTCTTGTGAGAGATAGAAAATAAACTCTTTGCTGACCCACATACAGTGAGCTACACAAAACAATGGATTAGAAAGTATCTAACGGTATTTAATGTTGTTATGAAGCAAATAGTTTTATCAGAAGCTTAACAATCAACATTTGAATTGTATAAAGGGTCTGTTTAAAGTGCCGTGCACGTTCTTATTCAATGTACTGTTTAAACTGCAAAAGTGCCGTGCACGTCTCCTATTCACTGAACTGTTTAAACTGCACAAGCGCCGTGCACGTCTCCTATTCACTGGACTGTTCAAACTGCACAAGTGCCGTGCACATCTCCTATTTACTGGACTCTTTAAAATCACTACTTGAGTCCAACAGTCGTCTTCTATTCACTGGACTGTTTATAACCACTACTTGAGTCCAACAGTCGTCGTCTATTCACTGGACTGTTTATAATCACTACTTGAGTCCAACAGTCGTCTTCTATTCACTGGACTGTTTATAACCACTACTTGAGTCCAACAGTCGTCTTCTATTCACTGGACTGTTTATAATCACTACTTGAGTCCAACAGTCGTCTTCTACTCACTGGACTGTTTATAACCACTACTTGAGTCCAACAGTCGTCTTTCTATTTCACTTTTGATTATCATTATTTTACAAAAACTTAATGGAGATATTTTTCTAAAATTATTTTCTTACAAACTTTAGAATATAAAAAAATGACAACAGCCTAAAAAATATTTATCAGTTCTTTGCTATTTATTTATCTCGTACCTGCTTAAAAATGTTGGGGTTGGTTTTGGGGGCGGCGAGTGAGGTTTGAGGGGGGGGTGGTTGAGGTGGGGGGGGTGACTAATGATTGCTTCTAAGATCAGTTGAACGTGATGTAAGACTTGTAGATAATTCTTGGAATCTTAATTCACAAGTTATCTTTGATTTTCTGGGTTCTATATTACATTAAAATAAATTCATCCTCTAATTCTTTCTGTTTATATAATCTGGGAAATTAAGTTCTTTAATCTTATGTAAAGAGTAAACATCCCTGTCTTGTATGCAGATTAGTGGATTAGTTGGAACATTACTCTCTATAATCCTCATAGGATTCTAACACACATGTTTAATCTCTTAAACACAGACATGTAATCTCTCAAACACACCATTTAATATCTCAAACACACCATTTAATCTCTCAAACACAACATTTAATCTCTCAAACACACCATTTAATCTCTCAAACACAAATTAAATATCTAAAACACACCATTTAATCTCTCAAACACACCATTTAATCTCTCAAACACACATGTAATCATTCAAACACACATTTAATCTTTAAAACACACTATTTAATCTCTAAAACACACCATTTAATCTCTAAAACACACCAATTGATCTCCCAAACACACATTTAATCTACCAAACACATATTGAATCTCTCAAACACACATTTAATCTCTCAAACACACCATTTAATCTCTCAAACACACATTTAATCTCTTAAACACACCATTTAATCTCTAAAACACACCATTAAAACTCTAAAACACACCAATTGATCTCCCAAACACACATTGAATCTCTCAAACACACATTTAATCTCTCAAACACACCATTTATTCTATCAAACAAATATTTAATCTCTAAAACACACATTTAATCTCTCAAAC